GCGCCTCGACATTCCCAAGCACGTACGCGCGGGAGTGACGAGGGTATGCCCTACACATACTACGCCCACAATGGGACGTTAGAAAGGATTAATTACTACACTGTTCTACTATTAGTACCTACTATAATCGTTTCATCACTTCAAAAATTCTATCTAGGCCCTTTTCTACTGAGGTGTCAGACGACACTCGTAGGACAGATTCATACGGACATCCAAAAAGTACTTACTTAACTGCCTCGCAATTTAGATCCGTCAAGGAAAATAAGAGTCATTGTCGTTTCTACCAGATTCTTAAACAGGAGGTCGCGTGTTCAAGCTCGGACAACTATTCCCACATCGGACCTTTTAACAATTCAGTTCAGTTCGTCGCTTTGAACAGACTGTCACTACTTATTTCGGAAACGGACAAAAGAAATCTTCAACTTAAGTTTTTTATTCGGGAGGGTCGGTGTTAACTCCTACTGCAATCCCAAAGTTAGTCTTTTTGCAACTTCGATCCAATTCACCGCACACTGACGAACGAAACGCCAAAGCGTCTGGTCAAAATACCCTCCCGAAAAGTTCTGCTTTCGCAATTCGCGTTTCTGCATGCCATAGTTACGACGCATATGTAACTAAATGTTTAAGTCCGAAAAAATTTAGGAACCGTAGAATGGTCGAGCGTTAGGGGTGTCTGACACAAAGCATAGAGTGTTTCGCACATACATCTTTACTGAATCGAATCTTGCATTGTGAGGATTCGATGATTCGTAAGTACGGATCAAGAGGGAGAAAAGGCAAAGGGCATTATTAATATATTTGTATTAGTGTATTTGTGACATAGATTTAAGAGAAGCTACGGTGCGAACGATTATAAAGGTCTAGGAGTAGTATCACAAAGCGCATAGGTAAAAGTTGTCGGTGGGTGAGGAGAAGTGCGCAAGTGCTTAGCATTGAGTTTGTGAAGTGGAAGTGATGGATGCCTATGTATCTGCCGAGCTTAAAGGGGCTTGGTTATATATGGATAGGAGGGGAAATGTGTTATCATTAAGGGTCTTGGTTTGTTGTTGCTAGAGCAGCTAATGCACGGGGCCGGCAGCAGGGGGATAAAAATTTAGGTATCTAGATAGTGGATGAATATAAGGCGAGAGAAGGGCAGAAAGATGTAGGGGAAATAATTAGTATGTTATCCTGAAAAAAAGTCAGGGTCGTATTGAATCAGTTGGATCAGACTGTGGTTTGTCAGCAAGGGAGTCGACCCTAGCTTAGCAACAGGATATATCTTCCGAGAATGTGTGTAGTGGGTGTGGGTAACACGGTTACCCCATATGTATGGGAAACATGACCTTTCATCTGTCCAATCATCATACGACAAAATGTTCGTAACAGGGTAAGCATAACAAGGGTTAAAGGGAAACAGATAAACTCCATGTCTGAAGGATTTGTGTTAGTTCTTGGTGGAAAAATCAACGGGGAGCGAATTAGATGTCAGGATCAAGTTAGAGATGGTCGTTAGAGAATAGTCATAGGGTGGTGCACGCCCTGAAGCACGCTTTTCGCCGCTTAGCACCATAGCAGCTCGTCAGAGAGATGTAGCTCCATACTAGCATATAGTTAGTAGGCGATAGGATGAGGTGGGTGGTGAGGTATACAGGGTATGGTTAGGGGTATGTTTGGAGCAGTAACATACCTGTGAGCGGAACACTTGCAAAAATGCAGTCTGTTCAACAGATGTTATGTTCCCTCGTTTATGCCAATCGTGTAGCACAGGGGAGCGCTGTGATGGCTGGAGGGGGTCAGCGAAGCGTTAATGATGGCTTATCGATGGGGTGAGCGTTAGGCTGCTCGAGCTTGCTCAGCAAGCGAATGCAGGTAAGTCTGAGGCGAATGCTTAGGAGGCTTCAGCAGGGAGGAGGGTGGAGTAGACATTGCATAGCGAGGCAAAACGTAGTTTCAACCGATGTTGTATGTAACAGTGGTAGGTCTAAAATATTACGGATTTGTAGCGCATCTGTAGGCTTAGTGTCGATAGCCTTGTTGTACTTAGATTGCGGAATCTGGGTATGGTCGTAGGAGGGGGTAAACCTATATAGCGGGGAATGAGTTGGTGGGGGAGAGGGATGAACCTATTGTTGGTCTGTTGGAGAGTAGTGGGGAGGGGGTGCGATTTGTTTATGGTGTTAGAGGTGTAAGTGATAGTTTGTCCGCAGCGGGGTCATGCTTATGGAAAAAAACATGCCGTGTGTTTGTGCTTGCGCTGCAAACGTTATGTTTGTTTTACTCGATTGCCAGCGTCGCAGAGGGTGTGGGTTAATTTGTTGTTTTGGGAAGCAAGTTGGCTATGGTGTGCGTGTCTTGAGATCTTGTGGAGTCAGGGTCTTTTCGTTTTCTTGTTCAGGTCGTGCTTTGTCATTGTCGTGTAGGCCGGGAGTAGTGTCATTTGGGCGTGGTGATGTATGTGCATTGTTTTGAGTTGTTTCATCTGGTATTCTTGTTGTTTGGTTTGTCATTTGGGGGTTTGTTTTTGTGCGTGAGTTTAGTCAATTTTACGTGCATTGTCCCATAACGTTTTTGGGGGTTACTGTTCGTATGCTTTGTTTACCTTGGTTAGGGGTGTACTCGTAGTTATGTGCTGGGTTGCAAGGCGTGAATCAGCTAATGGGTATAACTTTGATTTGACAGGTACAACTGAATGTAGTTAAGTACGTTTGCTGCTTATTAATTAATATTTTTACTTTTAGTATATATTAGAAAAACTATTCAATTGTTTAATTGTTTTTAGTTGTTTAGTTATATATTGAAACGGTATTCACCAGTTCGCGGTAGTGAATGCAGATCCCAGGGCTCGATCCCTAGATCCCCGTCTTACCTGTGTACAGTATCAGTGTCAACCCGTAGACTTGAACCTACGACGTGTAGGAACGCCAGTGGTAGGCAATTTTTCGTAGGTCACAAGGTAGAAGGGAATCGAACTGTAGACCTGTAGATTAGGAGTCCAGACAGTTCCGAAGTGGTAGCTGTAGGCTGCTTGAGGAGTCAAGGTCGTAGCTGCTACTTACCTGAAAGGGCAAAGTCGTAACTGCTACAGTACCGAACGGCCAACGTAGAGGTTTCTAGAACTGGCCTTTCGGAGTTGGCCTTTGTTCAGCAGAGGCATGTGGTCAAGTGGTGGTAGTCCACCCAGCCCAGTCAGCAGTCCCAGGTAGCCCAGTCCGGTCCAGTCAAGCAAGTACCGTCTGGGACTATGCACATCATGGGCCAAGGGGTAGAGGGCAGACCAACACAGCGCAGAAGTATAAATCAAGAGGCTGCGTCCAACCATTCATTCATTCAGGCGGAAGCCATGCGGTAGCGCTGCCACAGCGTCTAGTGCAAGGAGGTCTGCTGGAGGCCCGAAGACGAAGGGGGCAAGAGTGAAGCACTGTAGCCATAGCGATAGGTAGCGGCAGCCATAGCTGCCATAGCTCAGTGTAGAGTGCAGAGTGTGTGTACTGTGTGTGTGTGTTGGGTATGAACACTGAGTGTGCGTGTGGGACATCCAGGGTGATCTCGAGTGTGAACAGCGAGTTGTATGGGCGCACAGTCGCCATAGCCAGTGGGAAGAGAACTCATATCTGGTTACGATATCTTTGAGTGCTGTGTGGGCGCATGTCGCCAGTTTGCTGTTTCGCTGTTGACATGCATGACAAGTGTGAAGAAGTCGAGTCTGATTGCACTGGTATCGGAGCTGGTACCCGCTGTTCCACGCGCCGTCGTGTGCAGGCGTCATAGCTGAAGTGACCGCCGGAGGAGGCAGTCCGCCATAGCGGACCTCGAGGTGGAAAAGGACGCCGCGCACCTGCAACAAGAAGACCACTACGAAGAGAGAGAGGGGGAGAGAGTGAGAGAGAGAGAGACATGAGTGATACATGATTGGTTACTTACCTGCTGCGCTGAAGATACCGCTACGGCGGAAGAGAGAGAGAGAAAGGGAGGACAGAGAGGGAGGGACTGAGGAGAGAGAAGAAGAAGTGTGGAAGGAGGAGATCGAAGAAGAAGACAGATATAGCCGGGGGTGAACAAAAAAAATAAATATATATATATATATATACAGCGAAGGAGAAGAAGAAAGAAAGTGAAGGAAGGGGAAGAAGACGGCGAGGGTGACGAGGGTGATGGTGCCGGCAGCCATAACCGAGGTGAAGGGTTGACCGGGCGTAGACCGGAGCGTTGACCAGAGGGTTGACCAAGGGTTGACCAGGCGTTGACCGAGGGTGTTGACCAAGCGTTGACTGGGGGTTGCTCGCGTTGACTCGGCGTTGACCAAGGCGTTGACCGAAGTTGCTGCTGACCAAGATTTTGACCAAGCTGGAGTTGGTGATACCTCGTTGACCCTTCAGCCTATCCCCTTACCCTGTGGATATGCACTTACCCCACGATACTTGCTGAGTCTGTCTGTGTACTCTTTCTACATTCAGTCTCTTCTGTCCTAGGTGCTAGGAATATGTGGATGAAGGATAGGGCCTTGCTGCCAAGCCTGCACGGGACTTAGTAGGACCAAAGCTCTACTCTGGCACTTGGAGACCTGGGCATGAGCGGCGAGCGCTCGTTAAACAACTCGTCTAGCCCAATGACCGGTACTGTCCGGCAGGTCTACTGAGTTCGGTGTAGAGGGTCTGAACTCCGGGCTGTAGGCTGAAACGAGGGTCGTCTTTAAGTGTTGAGGCCTGGTTGAGCCTCTCCCCTACCGGACCTACTACGGCTGATGATCTGTGTCTGACGACTCGACTGTCCTGAGGGATACGAGCCCCTCCAAGGACGGGTACAGACCGGCGGGTTGCTCGGTGTGGCACAGTAGGCTGGAGAGGCCGAGTTGTGGGCTGAAATCGCCAGAGGAGCCAAGCTGATCGCGTCATCCTGTCTGCGACGTTAAAGAATTCTTGCGGAGTTTGGGGGATCTCCTTAAATGCCTCCTGATCAGCCCTTGGTTCTGTAGTGACAGCCTTAGAGTATTCTTGGGTTAGTAGTGGCCATAGTTGACAGGGTCTTGTCCTGTGGTCCTTAGGAAGTCAGTCAGTAGGTTAGTGTGTCCGGGTAGGGCTACGTGGTGAGGAGTGGGACCCTTGTTGTGCACCAACACCACGATGGACGACTACCCGATGTATGGGTTGCTGGTTGGGTTCTTCCTTTGGGGGACCCTCTGGCGTCTCCTCTTTCCTCTGGGATTTTGGCATACATAAAGGAAGAAGAGGAGCAGCTGAAGGAGGTGGATGAAGAGGAGGAGGGACCACCACTGCAAAGGAGTGGGCAACACAGTGGCGGCAAGGACGCAGAGATGGAGAAATGGATTTCGGAGTGGGTCGCCAACTTATCCCTGGGTGAGGAGGAAGACGTTGCTATGTACATCCCGAAGGATGAGCAAGAAGCCGCCATGAAGAAATGGGAAGCAGAAGAAGATGTTCTGACCCGGCGGGCGATGGAGGATGAACAAAGGATGGCGTGGAAGCTCATAGTGATGAGGGAGAAGAAGAGAAGAGTGGAGGCGGCGAATGCGGCAATGCAGGAACTGGAGGAGGTGAGGGTTGTCGTAACAACATAATTGATTCCGCAAGTGGATCTCCAACGTAAAGTGGAGATCATCGCCCAGAGCGTTGAGCGGTTAGCTAAAGTGCAAGAAAGGCACTTTGAGTTTAGTTGCAGCGAGGAGATATCTGTACGCTCGATGCGAACGGGCTTACGGGATTTTGTTCACGAACTAGTAGGCGCTGTGGGATCCGAGGTGAGTCATCGCCTCGAGAAGAATGGGCGTTTTTGTGTTGGCGCCATCGAAGGCGTCAAGGTGGCCGCTCCCAAGGAGGAGGAGGCCCGTCCTCGCAGGGAGCCGGTCAAAGTCAAATTCCCTGATTCCTACAGTGGGAAAAGGGAAGAGAACTTTGACAATTGGAAGGCCAATGTTAAGACTAATGTGCATCTGCAACAGGTATCCCCGGATCAGCAGGTCCTAATTGAGATCCACGCGCTTAGAGATGAGGCCGCCAACTTTGCAAGGTCCCAAGTTCGCGCTGCCAACTGTAGTGACGACCCGGTAGCGTACTCCTCGTTCACGTCCCTCACCGAATTCTTGAAGTTGTTACGCGAGCGATTCGCTGATGTTGCCCGTATTGTCAAAGCCTCAGATAGGCTTCAGACAATACACTCGCGCCAATGGAAGAGTGCAAGGGCACTCAAGGGCACAATGGATGAGTTAGTGGTTTTTCCTGACCACAAGGTCACAGAGACTCTGTTGGTCAACCTCTTCTACCGGGCCATGCTCGAAGCGCTGCGTGGTCACTTCTTTGACAAGAGTCAGGACCCTGCTATGACTTATGATATACTTAGCAGGGAAGTGGTCGCGTTCGAGGCGAAGTCTGCGTCTATTTCCACTTTCTGACACAAAGATTTAGACAAAGGCAAAAAGTGGAAGGGTCGCACTATCTTAGGGCAGGTCAAGACTAAGGATAGCCTTGTGCTCACTTTAGATGAAGGTAGTGTGGATGAAATCCCCTACGATCAGATTGAGTGGGGGTTAGAGGAGGAGGACAGCGGTGTGGTCCAGGGGAGATCCTACGCTGCTGTCGCGGCTGGAGGGAGGCCGCAAGGAGGAAGAGGCCAGGGCCAAGCGGGCCGGGCCTCAGGGAACCGATTCCAGGGCGATCAGGGGGTTGGCGGCAGAGGAGGAAATTGCCAAGCGGGGGGCAGGGGTCAAGGTCCCTACAAAACCGTCCTAGGAATAGGTCTCCCTATAGAGTAGGAGGGCACCCAGGGCTACCTCAGGGTAGGCCTTGGGAATCTTTGGGTCTGGACCAGGACTTATGGCAAAAACGATTGGACGGGGGCCAGTGCATTTTTTGCGGTGACCCGGGCCATATCATCAAATATTGTCCCCAGTATAGAGAGACCCGAACGGCTGCCCAAGGGCCAAAAGGCAGCCGCCGGTAGGGGTAGCAACTGCCCCTACCACTAGGCCATGTGGGGAAAATAGCGCTAGCCGGCAGGAGACTCCCACACCACATGTGCCTACGGCAGAGGTTGCAAGCCGGTGTCTAGACAACTGTCCCGAAACTGCTTGTGTTAGAGTTTCGCTAGACACCTCCCTCACAGGCGTGACCGAAGAATTGAAAGAGAGGATGCCCGCCTGGGCCAAGATGAAGAAGGAGAATAAAGGGTAACTGATTTTGTTAGATACAAAGATTTTTAGAAATAGAGTAGGGGCCCTAGTAGACTCAGGGGCCACTCGCAGCTTAATTAGTAGGAAAGCGCTGCAGAAGTTGAGGCTGGGACTTAAAGTCCAAAAACTGACAGACCCCATAGTTAGTATCCTCGCGGACAGTCGTACTATGATTGTAGAGGATTACGTAGAGGGAGTCCAGGCGTATTTCCGCCTAAAGAAAGATGAAAAAGTGGAGAAGGTCCTCCACTCCCTGACTCTCCTCGTAGAGGACAGCCTCCCGTTTGATATTGTGTTGGGAATGGATTGGGGAGAGGCAGCCGGGGCAACGCTCCATCTAAAGGAGCACGAGTGTAGGCTCCCTAGTTCGTCAGGCGAGGCCAAGACTGCCCGCTTGTTCCATGTGTCAGGGGTAGAGAATTCCTTGGCGCACTGCTGCCTTAGTGCCCCCGCGTTCGCCAGACTGGTGAAGAAGGAAGGATTGGAGGAACAGGTCTTTGTTGTCTGTGTTAGGCCATTCACTGAGCCTATGGAGGAGAAACCGATGGACCCTACGATTGCCAAACTGCTGGAGGAGTTTCAAGATTTAACTGAGCCGGCGATAGGAGTAGTACCGCGGCCCATCCAACACCATATTGAAATAGAGCCTAGCAGTAGAACTGCTAAGGGTGCGGTGTATAGGATGTCCCCAAGGGAGTTAGAGGAGCTGCGGAAGCAGTTAGACGAGCTCCTCGAGAAGGGTTGGATTAGGCCCAAATCGTCTCCTTTCGGAGCACATGTCCTCTTTGTTCCTAAGAAAGAGGGAGAGCTGAGAATGTGCATAGACTATAGGGGTCTGAATGCGATTACAGTGAAGAATGCTGAGCCACTGCCAAGGATAGACGATCTTTTAGATCGAGTGCTGGGGGCCAAGTATTTCTCCAAGATAGATTTAAAGTTCGGATATCATCAAATAGAGGTACATCCTGATGATCAGTATAAAACAGCCTTCCAAACCAGGTATGGGCATTATGAGTTTGTAGTGATGCCCTTTGGACTAACCAATGCGCCAGCTACGTTCCAGCGCTGTATGAACGATTTGTTTAGGCCGTGGTTAGATAGATTTGTTGTAGTTTACTTGGATGACATTTTAGTGTTTAGTAGGACCCTCGAAGAGCATCAGGGTCATCTCAGGCAGGTCTTGGAGAAGCTGAGGGAAGCTAACTTCAAGATCAATGCAAAGAAGTGTGATTGGGCGAAGACCCAGGTTTTGTATTTAGGCCACGTCTTAGATGGAGACAGCGTTAAGCCAGAGGATAGCAAGATCGCAACGATTAGAGATTGGTCCACGCCACGTACGCTGACAGAGTTGCGCTCGTTCCTGGGCTTAGCAAATTACTACAGGAAGTTCGTGAGGAACTTCTCCACCATCGCTGCGCCCCTTCGCAGATTGCTGAGAAAAGAGACAATCTGGAAGTGGGACAAGGACTGCACGTCTGCGATGAAGAAATTAAAGCAGGCGTTGATAGAGTATCCGGTCCTTAAGGTCGCCGATCCGTCCTTGCCTTTTGTCGTCACTACGGATGCTAGCCAGTACGGCATAGGCGCGGTGTTGCAGCAAGACGATGGCAATGGGTATAGACCCATAGAGTTCATGTCCGCCAGAATGCCTTCAGAGAAGGTCGCGACATCTACCTATGAGAGGGAACTCTACGCTCTCAGGTAAGCGTTAGACCACTGGAAGCACTACTTGCTTGGGAGGCACTTCAAAGTCTATTCTGACCATGAAACGTTACGATGGTTAAAGACGCAGGCCAAGATGACACCTAAGCTTACTAGGTGGGCCGCAAAGATAGATCAGTACGACTTTGAGCTCAAGCCTGTCAAAGGGAAGTATAACGTAGTTGCGGACGATCTGAGTAGAAGAGCTGATTACTTCGGGGCAATAGTGCACTACCTCGATATAGGGAAGGACCTACAACAGAAGGTCAGAGAAGCTTACGCGTAGGACCCTATCTATAGTGAGCTCCTTAAGAAAGTCAGGGAGGCCCCGGAGACTGAGCCGAATCACTGCACTATTGAAGGGTTGTTTTTTTAGAAGACTAATGTCTTTGACCGCCTGTGCATCCCCAATAATGAAGAGATTCGTAGTCTGATTTTGGGCGAGTGCCATGACACAGAGGGTCATTTTGGTTGGCAAAAGACTTTAGCCAATCTAATGCGCGCGTATACCTGGCTAGGAATGAAGAATGACTGCGTAGAGTATGTTCGCAGTTGCAAAGTCTGCCAGCGTAATAAGAGTTCTACGCGCGCCCCGCTAGGTCTTCTCAGACCCTTGCCCATTCCGGATCAGCCGGGGGACTCAGTGTCAATAGATTTCATGGACACTCAAGTCAAGAGTAGGCATGGCAAGAGCCAAGTCATGGTCATAGTTGACTGCTTTAGCAAGTATGCAGTTTTTGTTCCTTTGCCTTCTGAGGCACGTACTGATTTAGTCATACAGAGGTTCTTTGACTGTTGGGTTAGCGAGAATGGAATCCCGCTGTCTATAGTTAGCGATAAAGATAGTTGCTTTACTAGCCAGAACTGGCAAGAACTCATGGGAGTATACGGATCTAAGTTGTTGATGTCGTCCGGCTGCTATCCAGAGACTAACGGCCAGACAGAGCAAATGAACAAGATCCTACAGCAAGTTCTGCGCATGTATATTAGGCCAGATCAGATTAACTGGGATGAGATGTTGCCTAAAGTAGCTAGTGCGTACAATAACAGCGTGCATCTAGCCACCTGCCGCACTCCCAACGAACTGCACAAGTCCTTTAGACCGCGCAGACCGTTGAGGGACTTAACCAGGATCAGATTCAGAGATTGCCGCCCGGGACCAGGGAGTTTGTTGTGCAGCACAAAAAAGAACTAGCTACTGTCGTAGAGAACCTCAGAAAAGCCCGGCATAGGATGATAGAGCAAGTGAACAAACATCGTCGCCCTTCACAGTTTCAAGTAGGCGACTTAGTCTGGGTCAGTTCTAAAGAGTTTACACCTGAGGAGAACATCTCGCAGAAGTTACTGCCGACATATAGAGGACCGTGGCCTGTTCTGGAAGTCAAAGGCGGCAAAGATGGAATGTCCTATACAATAGAACTACCAGCACACCTCCACACGTATCCAGTTTTTCACGCATCGAAGTTGCTACCTTGTCAAACAAGTTATCAGTTTCCATCCCGTAGATCGATGATCCCACCTGATATGGATGGAAGATATGACATAGATGGTATAGTGGCTGAAGAAATCTTCAGAACTGGAGGTAGGGGTCGTTTGCAGAAACAATACAAGGTTCATTTTAGTTATCAGGTCGCAATTTCAAGTCTACGGGTTGACACTGATACTGTACCCTGTGACCTACGACAAATTGCCTACCACTGGCGTTCCTACAGGTCGCAGGTTCAAGTCTACGGGTTGACACTGATACTGTACACAGGTAAGACGGGGAATCGAACTGTAGACCTATAGATTAGGAGTCTAGACAGTTCCGAAGTGGTAGATGTAGGCTGCTTAAGGATTCAAGGTCGTAGCTGCTACTTACCTGAAAGGGCAAAGTCGTAGCTGCTACAGTACCGAAGGGCCAACGTAGAGGTTTCTAGAACTGGCCTTTCGGAGTTGGCCTGTGTTCAGCAGAGGCAAGTGGTCAAGTGGTGGTAGTCCACCTAGCCCAGTCAGCAGTCCCAGGTAGCCCAGTCCGGTCCAGTCAAGCAAGTACCGTCTGGGACTGTGCACATCATGGGCCAAGGGGTAGAGGGCAGACCAACGCAGCGCAAAAGTATAAATCAAGAGGCTGCGTCCAACCATTCATTCATTCAGGCGGAAGCCATGCGGTAGGGCTGCCACAACGTCTAGTGCAAGGAGGTCTGCTGGAGGCCCGAAGACGAAGGGGGCAAGGGTGAAGCACTGTAGCCATAGCGATAGGTAGCGTCAGCCATAGCTGCCATAGCTTAGTGTAGAGTGCAGAGTGTGTGTACTSTGTGTGTGTGTTGGGTATGAACACTGAGTGTGCATGTGGGACATCCAGGGTGATCTCGAGTGTGAACAACGAGTTGTATGGGCGCACAGTTGCCATAGCCAGTGGGAAGAGAACTCATATCTGGTTACGATATCTTTGAGTGTTGTGTGGGCGCATGTCGCCAGTTTGCTGTTTCGCTGTTGACATGCATGACAAGTGTGAAGAAGTCGAGTCTGATTGCAATATCTATAATACTATTTATATTTACTGTTTATTTTTTACTTTTTTTTTTTTTTTTTTTTAATCTTAAAATTTTAAAATTTTAATTAATGTTTATACATATATATATACTGTGCAGCATCGTAATCGGGTTCGGTGACCGAACCCGAACGTTCGTGACCGAATGCGAACCAGCGCCGAAACTTTATGAACGCGATCATAAATAGATTAAAACAAAGAAGAAAACGTTCTCCAAAAAATCTGAAAGAAATATATGTTATGTAAAATAATATTACAAACAACTTTTGCCTTGGAGGTATGGTCAAATTTGTAACCAAACTCGAGTTAAAATCATAGTCCAGATTCTTGTTGGTTTAGTGAGGGCGACCGTGCATGTCACCGAATGAATTGCCCACTTTGGCGTACTTAAGTGGGACATTGTAGATGTCCGCAACGAGACGGACACGACTTATTTCACGCGTGGAGCATCAAAAACCTTTTTTTTTTTTTTTTTTTTTTTTTTTGAATATGTTCGGCCGAACACGTTCGGGTGGTGTTGGGCCGAACACCCGAACATGTTCGGAAGTTTGGAAAAACTCCGAACATGTTTGGTGTGCTACAAAGTATATATATATATACATATATTATTTATTTATTTACTTATTTTTATTTATTTATTTTTATTGTTCTTGTATATATGCAAAGAAGATGAGCAATAGCGAACTTCAGCAATCAAACCGCATCATATACACAAGACCAGATAGTCGTGACCTCGAACCAACAACAAAATTGCAACACGAGTTTCACCAAATAAGAAGACACCAAAAGCTCATAATTGACGATGCTGGTAAGTCTCATCATCATCATCAATGAAGAACCAATGTTAATATCGTATCTGGCGCTCGGCGCCCAGACTACAGATGGCAGATCCTATATAGACTAGACTACAAAGCCGAATGATGACGACAACAACTTTCCCGAAGTACGAGCATACAGCGACCAATGTCGCATGCTTCCAGCACCAAGTATGTCTCTTGCCTCACTCACAACCTTGTTTCCCAACACACAGATGCCACTTGTACCCAAGGACCACCCTGCGCCACACCCAGTTTACAGCAGCGCAGCTCGGCTATGGCTGCCTGCTCCTTCCCTGCTCGCCCGTGAGCAAATAGCGCACCAGCGCTTGCGCAGCATGCAGCCAGCACCCGAATGCCGAATGAGGAGGCAGGCCCTTTGCTATATCGAAGTGGCCTGCCTGCGTCCAGTCCCAGGAAGCTTCCAATAGGTCCCGGTAGCCTAAGGCCTAGCACGATCGAGAACAGGCCCGGGGCCTGAGGTGGTTGCATGCACCCAACTGCCTTTGTCATGTGTCTGGCCCAATACCCGTATCCAGCCCAGGACCTGCTTTCCATACATTCACAAAGGCGGCCCAGGGCCTGGGTTCTCTTCAACCAACTGGCGCTGCGCAACTGCGTGAATTTCCTTAGTTGCGCAGAGGCCGAAATAAGGCCCTAAGAGCCTCGTCGAGCCTGCCTTCACTGAGGGCGGCCGACAGGCTCCCAAAAAGGGGCCGAATGGGGCTCATAGAGGCAGTGGCCTCGCATTCCCTCCTCCTTAGCTTCAACAGTCCTCTGAGAAGCTCAGTCTTCGACCATCGGACGCTTTCCTTTCTGTAGAGATTTCTCGTAGTGGGCTACAACTTGTGGAGAGGTCAGCATCAATTCCTCCCTCGTGAACCGTCTGTCCTCTTTTGGGTCTGTGTGATGTCTGAACCGAACAGGATACTGCAGCTTCGGTTTCGGAGGACGTCCTTTGCATGTCAATCCTGGAACTGGCATTTCCTGGTGGTCAACAATATCATCGATGTCGACCTCTCCATCAATGCTTGGGGGCAGCATTGAGCGACGAGATGAAAACTGATCTATTTCTTTAAAAGGTGGGAGCTTTGAAGCGCTATGAATCCCCGTCAACGGCGGCCAAGCGCGGCCGAATCCACGGACGTGGCCTGGCCGTCGACCCTGCGGACGCGTCCGCGTGGACACGCGGCTTTGAAACCACGTGGCGGCCAGTAAGGAGGGGGGTTGGGGATTCGGGAAGCGCCATGGGGCGGCGCAACCCCAGCCCCACCCCCTCGAACAGAAAAAAAAAAAAAAAAAAAAAAACATTGGTTGGGGGGTTTGGGTGAGTAAAGGTATTTCGAAAAAAAAAAAAAAAAAAAAAAAAAAACACTTTTTTTTTTTTTTTTTTTTGGTGAGTTATTTGTGATGTAAGGTATCTCCCTCTTAATTTTGAAGCCATTCTGTTCAGCCAAAAAAAAAAAGAAAAATCCTCAAAGGTGGTGGTGTCAAAAAAAAAAAAAAACAGCGCTTTTTTATTTTTTTTCTTTTTTCATTGATTGATTGATTGATTGATTGATTGATTGGCCCCACAGGCACACACACACACACACACACACACATAGGTAGGATTGTATATTTCCATGTTCTAGCGGCAAAATCACTCGATTTTGCTTCTTTTTTTTTTTCGTTGATTGATTAGTGGGGGCTGGGTCGCCCCCCCATCCCCAACAGGCCCACACACACACACACACACACATTATTGTATATTTCCATGTTCTAACGAAAGATTCATTCGATTTTCCTTTCTTCTTTTTTTGTTGATTGATTGATTGATTGATTGGTTGGTGGGGGCGGGGTCGCCCCACCCCCACGACCACGGGTGCACACACACACACACACACACACACACACACACACACACACACACACATATTAAAAATTAA